AATTCAACCAAAGATTTACCACTTTATCTGTTCAAACTTGCTCCTGTGACCTGGGGGAATCACAGGGACACCTGAGGCAATGACCTGATTCCTGAAAGACCAAGGGCAACACAGTAGGTCAGAAAACTGAATGGCCCCAGTGCCCAGAACTATTCCAAATTAGAGCCATCTCAATCATTAGCAGTAGGGGTACAAAGAAACCCCACACCGCAATTGAAAATTACCCCATGAAAGAGTATTTACAGAACTGCTCTCTTAGCACAGGGTAAAAACCCAATTCCTGGACTTTTGAGTCTCCAGAGTATGCAGACCAAGGTAGCTTCTTTCTGTGCTGCTGGAGAAAACAGCATGGCCCAAATCCAGCAGACACAGGGATCAAGCTGTGTTTGAGAGGCTTGAAAAGCGTTTGTAGTCAAACCATCGGCCGAATCACGTTCAAAATAAAGCCATGCTTGGATCCAGTTTCTAAACAGTGCTGTTGCCAACACTATGGCCTATGGTGATTTTGACTTGAGAAGACTGGTCCACAAACTTGGATAAATATCTGATGGGACAGCAGCCATCTTTCAGTCTCCACACGTATATCTGAAAACACTCAGGATTACCAATCCCTAAAGTATCAACAGAAGGCAGAAGCGAAGGGCTCAAAGATGAGACAGACCTTGCTATCCTGCCAAGAGCCAAGTGCTCCAAAAAAATAGTGAAGTGTTACTGCAGCATTACACACATCAAATCTCATTCTCCTTGTTCTAAGCTCAGCTCAGTAATCTAAAGGAACAGCAGACCAAGAAGTTGAAAGTTATATTAGGTGAACGGGGAAGGGAAAGCTATGCATACCATTTTTCTTTATAGAAAAGAATATGTTTACACATTACAGGGACACTGGGGAAGGCTGCAACAGGAAAATCAGAGTATGTTTTACAAAGGAAACTGCTCTTCCCAGCACATCTAAGCAAGTGACCGCTCCACATAAACCAAACTCTTTGAACAAAGAAAGCCTGTAATATAATTATAGCTCATTTTCTATTTACTATAGTACACAACTGTAAGTGGCAGGTTTTTAATCACTGCTATGAGATATCCTAACTCCTGCCTACAATCTGCAGCAAGTCATGGTGCTTACTTCTTTAAAATAAAGCTAGAGCAGCCTCCTCTGAGCTTTACAGATTGAGAGTCTCAGATGAGCTGGCAGGATCATGAAGACAACATTCCGATTTTTCAATTCATGCCTTAGCGGCAGGATGAAAAGGGGAAATCATAAACCAACTCTTAAGAAAAAAAATGATCAATCTGCACACATTAGAATAAAAAAGTCTTAGCATTCCTTAAAGATGATTGAATCAAATTCCAGACTTTCAGACTGTTTGTAAAATTTGGGGGTTTGTTTGACATTGCTTTTGAGTACTTCAGTCACACAAGATCAATTAACAACATACACTGAGGATCATTTTTAACTGCAAGGCATTCATCAGACCTGCATAAAAACTGTACCCATTTGGTCCATTCCCTGCAATGGACCTGCTCAGCTCTGTAACCACATCAAGCACAGTGGATGCTTATATTGTCAATCGTATTGGGGTCACTTTTGTGTTTGCAACAGGCTTTGATCAGGAGGCTGCCCTCTCCATCACACCTGCTTCATGAAAAACAGCTCAGCACACACCCCAGGAAACACAGCCCTCCCAGCTGAAGGGACCATCAGCTCCTACAGGTGGGGGTGAATGAAACAGGAGCCACCTTTCAGCCACCTCAAACTGAAGAAAAGTGGGGAAACAAAGCCCTCTGCCTCAGCAGCTCCCGAAACATGAGGACAGACACATGGTGCATGGTGGCACAGGGACAGCACCTCCTGAGGATGACAAAAAGCAATTTGCAGAGTTCAAAAAAATCAAGAAAAGTCATCCAGAATATAGATGTGAGAAACAGAGAAGAGAGAACATCCCCTGAAGGACAACAGGGCAATGGTGTCTCTCTCTTCACTGAATTAAGTCAAGGACAGAGAGGAAGAGGAAAGTAAGAACCATTTTCCATTCCCTCCTGCACAGAATCACAAATGTATTTAAGAAAATGAACTGTGAGATGATGCATGTAAAAAATATACTGTTCCACCACGGCTGGTGATGGTAGAGTTATGCTGTATATTTAGGCAAGCATCCAGAAAAAGGTGACTGCCAGTTCATGGTCATGAATCACGAATCTCAAGAGTACACTAAGAGGCTACAGTGTGCTTCACAGAACAAATCAGCAGTAATTACTAAAGAGAGCACCAAAACACAGCTAACTTCCAAGATGTCCATTAAAGGTTGAGTGGGACAAGAAAAGGAAAAATCAAGGAGATGAGCTCACCAAGAAAGGTTCATTTCAATTTCAGACACCTCTACACTGATTTATTGTCTTCAAACAACAATACTCATGCCTGTATTGTTTAGAGGGTAAAAAAGACAACTATGGTTGTCTTAAGACAATAAAGGACAATAGCTACACTAGCAAGAGGAGTGATTTAGCAGCAAATGGCTTTAACAAAGTAGACAGCCATACCAGGTTAGCAAGCATTAAAAGATCAGGCCCATTATTATGATACAGGATATGATAAAACATGTATTATTTTTACCATACCTTCCTACACCCATACACCCAGTCAGGTAAGCATGACTACCTTTCTTAGCTTTCAACAAATCTTTTAAACATTCACCAGTTCCTCTTAAATGATTAAAAAGTCATCTCCACTCCGGGAGAATTATTTGATTTCCAGTACTTAAAAGCCAAAGCAGAGATTTCAAAACACATTCAGCTCCATGGAATTATTTGTGTCCACATATACTGCTTTTCCTCAATGTAGATATAACTGTCTTTTCAGTTTCTCCTCACAGGGACTTGGCTTTTAAGTAGCAACTTCTGTGTTTAACTCTTTCATTGAGAAGAATAAATGGAGGAAACTATCAGGAAATAAAACCAAATAAGCGGCAAGAACTTACCTGGTTACAGAGCTGACACCATAGTCTCTGTCCACGTTTTTAGTTGTCAACATTCTCTGTTTTGTGAGAGGTTAGCAAGAAACTCTTTTTCTTTCTTTCTTGTTCTTTGGCTTTTCCAGCTTTCTGACTCCAACTCTCCAAAGCAGAGCAAATCACTAGAAAGATTTCTTCAAAATGCTCCAACAATTTTCACAGCAGCCTGAAGTCAGCAGTTGCTTCCTGCCAGGTGATTTCTGTCCTACCTCCTGTGTTTCTGGCTGTTAGTCTGCTGTGTTTTAACCCCAGCTGGTAACTAATCACCACTCAGAGGCTGCTCCTTCACTCACCCCAGGTGGGATGGAGGAGAAAATTGAAAGGGTGAAAGTAAGAACACTTGTGGGTTGAGATAAAGACAATTTAATAAGTAAAGCAAAAGTTGTACACACAGGCAAAGCAAAACAAGAAATTCCTTCACCACTTCCCATGGGCAGGCAGGTGTTCAGACATCTCCAGAAAATCTGGGCACCAACACACATAACTGTAACTCAGGAAGACAAACTCTGTCACTCCAAACATCCCTCCTTCCTTCCTTCTTCCCAATTTGCATGCTGACCGTGACTCCATAGGATATATGTTGGGTCAGCTGGGGTTGGCTGTCCCAGCTGTGTCCCATCACAACTCCTTGTGCACCCCCAGTCTCTTCACTGGTGGGGTGGGAGGCAGAAAAAGCCTTGGATCTGTGCAAACCCTGCTCAACAGTAAGGAAAACATCCCTGTGTTATCAGCACTATCTCCAGCACAAATCCAAAACAGTCCCATACGAGTACTGTGAAAAAGAATTAGTCCAGACAAAACCACCTGAGTGTCTCAGGTGCTGCTCCAATCCACTCATCTTATTTAATAAAGTACAGCTGAGATACTCTCTGCCATCAGATGAAGGTACACTTTTTCCTTGTACCTCATGTCTCCACACCACAAGCAAAAAGCTGGATAACAGATAATGAAAATATTATGTACCCAGCACTTCGACAGTCTTATAGAAAAATTGACAACAGAAGCAACTTGGAAAAACTGGGATCCTGCACATCCCACTTAATTCAGATTACCGCTGAAAGTTTCTGAGCCACTGCAGAGCTACTATTTTCTAATTTTTCATATCCCTATTTAGGAAAAGCAGGGAGGTATTACAGCCCAAAACATAAAAGACAGCAACATTCAAAGCAGTCACAACATAAAACTGTCTTTTCTTACTCCAACGCCTTTTTCAAAGTTTTGATAAACTTGCACAGGATCATCCAAATACGAAAACATCCAAGTAGAAACACTCCTTAAGACTTGCATGATGGATGGCTACAGCACTAATTAAAAAAGAAGCCACTGCCTCACAGCTGCATTCCATAAAAAGCAATGAAACTGTTGGGAACAGCTGGGAGTTTATGTAGCAGGGGCTGAAGATACCAAAACTGAAGACAGTGCCCCAGCAGCAAGCAGCATTCTTCCACTTTTTGGTCATCTCTAAATTGTATTTATTTTAAAGACTTACATTTGTGCTATGACCACTTCTTTATGAAAAACATATGTCAAACTGAATCTGAAAAGAAACCAAAAAACCCTGTTCTTGGAATGTAAAAGTAGCAGGTTCTTCTCAATAGGAAACTTGTACATTATGGATTTTTTTTTCCTCCAAGCAAGGGGAAAAAGTTTAAATTAAAAATGTATGCTGAGTCAAGTAGTGGAATTATCTTTAACAAAAAACAAAACCAAACTCAAAAAAAAAATAAAAGAAAAAAAAGGTAGGATTGACTCATACTCCAGAAGTGGCTATTTCTCATTACAGGGACAGACAGATGCATTCTGTGTCTGGCTGAACACACACTGCACTCTGCTGCTCAGCCTCCCCTTGCTCCTGAGTTTAGCAGGGCTACTAACCTGTGCTGATCACTACATCTAAGCTCAGCATATCTTCATTTTTAGTTGTTCCTCCTCCAAGACCACACACCTTTATCTGGTTTGTTAAGAGTCTGCTAAGAAGTGGACAAGACAAGGTTTTAATAAAATGTAAGCAGTAACAACAGGTTTTATTCAAAATTTCCAGTAAAGAGAACCCACTAGTTTTGGAATAAAAGTACTTGAAAGTACTACAGCTTACATGAATATAAAAGAGCAAACAGAAAAAAATAAACCAAGCAGGAAAAAAAAAATTAAAAATATATATAATTTTTTAAAGTTTGAAATAGACCCCCACAGGGATACTGAAGTCCTCCAAACAATTAACAGTTACTAGGTTTGGCAAAACAAGATTCTCTCACAAAATTAAAAGCATACTTTTGTTACATAAACTGTATAAAACTGCTCAATAGTTAAAGAGCACTCTGTACAAATTTGTCATGAAATACATAGAGCTGCAGCCTTCAAACTGCAGTAATTAATCATTTTGTCCTCTTCATGGGTAAAAGAAGCTGCACAATTGCTTTGGGGGAAAAGGAAGAGGCAAAATTAGTCAGAACTAACAAGATGAAGCCCACTATGAAAACAAAATACACAACAAAATTCAGACCTCAGTTTAAACTAACACGCTATGTTTACAATATATTCTACATTTCAGTTGTCATTGTCCCCTCCCACTCCCACCTCCCCCCATTCAAATATTCCTAATTCCTTTATGGTCTAAATCTAATTAATTTCTAAACTTTCAAATACACCATACATACATTTAGCAAAAGAACATACCTAACATTCTTACAGCAGTATGGTCAGGACACAATTTCAGAGATAGCACACAGTTATTGAGATTAAACCTTATGCTTTCTTTTACTTTTAGAGAGAACAGCAACCATCAATGTAATGTTTCTAAGAAGTACTGGAGAGAGGCTGCAAAAAGCAGACTTGGCCAACATCCACTGTTAGCTCCAGAGGACATGGGGAAACCAGTGAGTGCTGAATGTAAGGAAGGAGAACCTTAAGAATGCCGGCTGCAGAAAAATCCTTCGGGAACTCGGTCCAGCACACTGAGTTTGGCTTTGGCTCTGTCGTCCCTCTTGTACTAAGCCCTGTAAATCAACTCCACAATAGTACATTACAATGTAAACTAAAATTCTTTATACCAACAGTATGTCAAAGGGGTTTATTTATCTTTGTTTTCTGAATCCAACAGTTGGTCACAGAAGTCAAGTGTTTTCATGGCTCTTTTTCAGCTGCTGCCAGTTGAGGGGGGGGGGGAAATAAAAACGTGTGTCTGACTCATACATCTTTCAAGTACATGCAAGGCTCAACTGTTTCCAAAATGCAGGAGCTTGGGACCTTTTAAGACACTGAAGAAATAGGATTATGAGGAGAGCCCATCTGAGTAAGTACTTTATCCAGCCACTGAAGGGGACCATGGAGATGTATCTCTATCCAGCATGGAGTGCTTGTTACATCCTGGCGATGATATTCAGCTCCCCAACCCTAGATATCGAATCATAAGCAGGGAAAGAAAAAACAAATCACCTTACATTATAATACTAAATATCTGAAAGGCATAGTTCTTACTGAAATAGTTTTCAATGGTCATTATTCAGCAGGGTGACACAGCACCCACTAACTACTATCACATTTCAACAAACAAATCAGAAGCTAAAAAAATAATAAATGTGGAAAAAGTATAATTTCAGATCTCTTGGAATGGAAATCTTTAAATAAATAATCTGTAGCAGTGCAAAATCTCCCCATATATCACTGCCGGCTGCCTGAGGTCCTTATAAAGCCTCTGAAGAGGCAGATATTCAAATCTTCTCTGCCAAGACTGAAAATAGAACAAATTGGGTGGAAATGCTGCCAAATAGATCAAAAAATTAAAAGATGAGGTGATAAGACTGATGTGGAAATGGAGGTGAGGCATCTGTCTGACAAGAAACAAAGCATCATTCTCAGGATGGGAATGATGAATTGAGCAGTAAGTCAGAAGCATTCCTCCTTGGAGAAAGAGGGCATGGTCATCCTCCATCAGGCTGTTTCTCAACTTAAGACAGGTTTTGTTTCAGCTCATACCTGATTCTGTTACAGTAATTACCAAAGATATACAGAGATATTTAAAAGCATTCAAAATGGTTTTGTAAGTGAACCATTTTTGGGGCAGGTCTGAAGACTATAACATCTGCAGGTACACTTTGCTCTGCTCTGTATTAATCCCTAATGAAGGGATTTCCCAGCTCCCAGCACAGCTGGCAGCAGCTCTGAACACTGTGCAGTGCAACTTGCAATATACAAGAGGTCCTGTTTTACTGTTTAGGCAATACTACCACACAACTCTGTAGGATGAAGAGCTGTAAACAGCCCATTCCATTTTAGGAACCCCTGTCTTAACATATCTGAAAGTTCTCATCCTCCCATCATGGAGAGGACTGCAGCATATCACCATCTTCATTTGATTACTTTCATTTAAGGACCAGCCCTTTCATATCAGTACCTATGTTGACACTCACACAACAGCCATATCACAAATCCTGACCTTGTATGCCTTCCTAGAATAGAAAGGTATGCATATTATTCTAAATAATGACTGCAGCTCCTAATTTGGGAGTTGCTGGTCAAGATTTAGAGGACTTATGTGAAGAAACATCTTCTGCAAGTCACCTCAAGCTTTCTAAGCACGTGGGTCAGATGGTTTTCTGTCCACAAATACTTCATTTCACTACGATCTGTCTTAGACTTAACGAGTATTCCATCCTTAAAATTCAACAACCATTAACAGCTGATGAAGGGAGTTACTGGACCATTCAAAATCACTACATTAAAAAATAAATTACTTTGTTTACAAAATAATCTCAAGCAAATGCCCACATACCTTTACAAAACTCATCCGGAGAGTGCACATCTTAGTAAGCTCATACACTGTCTCAAAGCCATGGTTCACAGACTGAGCCAGGAGCTGAGCAAACTCTTGATTATTGAAAATCTTCAGGCTGCAGCCACTGGGGATTTTGCAGACCGTGGTGGGATGGAACCCGTGGTGGTAGTTGCAGTTCCGACTTTGCACAAAGATGCTGCTGTCGCTCAGACACTCAGCGTACACCTCCCCGCCAACGTAGTAGAGATGGACACCTGCGAGGAGAAGGTTGGCAAATTCACACTCTGTGTCTGTTTTCATGCTCTGTCTCCACAGAGATAGGCTTCTGTTCAAAGAGATAAACCTTAATTACGTATCAGAGTATCATCTGTCTTAATTTTTACTTTTCTCTTTCATCAGCAGGCGATCTGAAAGGTTATGTATGTATGTATATATGTATGTGTGTATGTGTGTGGAATCAACATGTTGTATATTCAACAACACCAAACTAGCAAGCACAGTGGTTTTGATGCTTTCCATTGGACAACCTGACCACTTGAACTTTTTCTCATTATATTCAAGTAAAGCAGTAATTGGGAATGAAAGCAGAGAGAGCAGAAACCTGCTGCATAATTTGTAGATGCTGAAGTGGCCCCAAGCCCGATTCTCTGGAAAAGTCTTGAATGCTAATTTGGGTAGAATAAGTTTTGTCAGCTAGCTTTAATTCCAGAAAGCTAGATGGGGAAAAAAAGACCCTTATATTCCTCAGACCAATCTGCCAGATGAGGGTACACACCAATTTTACAGTCCTTTCCCCTGCTACTGTCTCCTCCTTCACCTGTCATCCAGCAGCAAAGCCCCAGAAAAGAAACAGAGAACTTTTGTGTCAATAAGAGTCAATTCTAAAGGTTTTGAGAAAGCAAGAAAATTTACCTTCTATGTTTAAAAATGGTTTATTTGCTACTTAAAGCTTTCACCTCCTACAATGTCACAAATCACAGAGGTGAACACGGAGAATTAGAAAACTTGACTGCAGTCCCGTAAGAAAGCCTTGACTGTGCTCTGTCATGTAAGATTTTGCCACTGACTGTGTGGGTATATACATACTCTCACCTGATCTGCAAAAACATTTATGGTTATGTCTTCAAGTTTGGGATTTACTCCTTCTTTCTCAAAGACTAACATCACCATGACTTGTACACATTTACTCATTCAACTGCATCCTTGTCTCTCCCACGCTCTGCTTTGGTACACACGCAGTTAAGTGCTTCAGCAGAACTCTGCCTGCAGCTGGGCTACTCCTAACAGGAAAAATGAATGAGGTGTTAAATAAATATCCTGATACTTGGGAAGATGGATGGGGAGGAAAAGAAGGAAGAAGTATCAGCACTCGAGTGGCATAACACAGGTGTGGTGCACTACTGAGAGCTGCACAAGTTCTCATGAAGAGAAAAGCTCTCCAGACTGGGGGCTCAGACTCCAGGACCTGACAGTTCTCTTCAGCTTCAGTTCTTTCCTCCTCTTCATGAATTGGCACTTCTACCCCAGTGCTTAGGCATGCTGAATCCTCAACTGTTTCAGAAAATTTACAGCTTACTAAAAATGTAAATACCTAAAAAAAATGCCTTGCAGGAATGGCCCATTGCAGGGGGCAGTGTCAGCTTTGCCTGCCATTTGCATTACAGGTGACTTGTCAGAAAAGAGGACTGTATTAGTCAGGCATAAAGGTGAAGATTTTCTCTTTTGCAAGACTCTCACAGACACAGAAGGGGAGCACAAAATTCCCACTGAAAGAACCACCAGCCTGTAAAAAATCCAATTGGAATAGACTGTTTTAGCAGGTTATCTCCCAAAATACATGTTAGGGTAGCTAATTTATGTTAGAACTAAGGCTAGCTAAAACATTTGGTGCCAAGAACCACAATTTGGATTTCCATATACAGCAATAATCAAGATAAATCAAGACATTTCATTAGACAAACTGCCTTAACCTCTAATTTAGATTTCAATAGCCTTCAGGCAACTAAAAATTGATTAAGGGTAAAAGCTTCCTGTAATTACATACCAGGTAAGAACAACATTTTGTTTATAAGACTAGGCCAGAAAATTATATGTTTACCAACACAAGCACTTCTCCCACATGCTAGGGAAGAGCAGTTTACTCTTGAGGGAAGCTGCCCAGGTTGTCACGTCTCGGGAAGCACCACCCCCATCCAAAGTGCACGGCCAGATCCCAAACTCACCTTTGCCAATGTGCCGCCTCGTGTTCTCAATGGTGGAGTTGCGGTTGACGTTGGAGAGCAGCCCCAGGCAGAACCTGTTCTTGTTGTTGGAGGGGTCAGTGAAGCCATCCACCAGGATGCTGGTGGAGGACGCGTGGAACGCCTCCCCGACGCGGTTGTTCAGCTCGTAGTAGACGATGGAGCACCAGTGCTTCGGCTCTTCGTATGCAACTGCCTGGACATCTGGAAAGCCACAATGGAAACCTTACAGCCTAACAGTGCTGGAACACAGGCTGCAGGAGTAAAGAGGCGTAACCCTGCTGATCTGGGCTCCATAGGGTAAAATCATTTCAACTCAAGACTCAGAAGAAACAAAGGCTGGCATTAGGTATGAGCAGAAAGGTATAGAAAGCTCCTGGGCACATCCCAAGCAGTGCCCCAATATCTCTGCCCCATTTTCTTACAACATGCAACAGTGCAGGACCAGATAGCAGAGAAATGCTGTGACTGTACAACTCAGCTTTCTTTCCTATTCAGTAGATGGATTTCTACTTCAGTTCATTTTACTAACAAACAATCTCCAAGTCACCTGTTTGCTTACTGCAAAGTTGTATAGCAACAGGAAGGAACAGCATCACACAACTGCATCAAAGACCATTTCTCACTTTACAAAGAAGTGCAGCAAGGCAGTTTAAATATACAGTCAGTATATCAATCTTTTAGCATTCAGAGCATGACCAAATCTTTCTCCTGGGTTTTTTGGGAGAGGGTAGGAGACTTCAAAAAACCTGAGAGAGACTGACATTTGTCTGCAGAACACGCATGAAGCGCATCCTCAAATAAAGGGAGGCTACTGAGGGGCTGTGGTTGCTTTATGTGTACCTTCTTTTTAATGAAGGATGCTATTTCACTACTAAGACTAGAAAAGTTGTACTTGCTGCTGAAACACCAACTTTGCAGATCCCACATACAGGGCAAAGCGCTAAAATGAAAATCAGACTGGTATTATGAGAAAACTTGTTTTTTCTGGCCAGAAGTTTCCTTCTCCCAGCACTAAGTTTTCACTGAGATCAATCAACTAAGATTTGTGTTCATATTTTCCTCTGTTCACAGATCACAACACTACAAGTTTTTGTTATAAAAACAAAAAACCAAAAGTCCCCCTCAAACCAGCAGTACACAATAGATATGAAAGGTGGAAAATAATCAAGAGCAGGATAACACATCCTACATTACTATGGCAAAACTTGTGAGCATAGTGTTTATTGTTATTAACTTGCTTAAAAACACTGGTAAAAAGCTGATCCTTCCTGATACTGGCACTTTCTATCCCTTCACATCAGTGCTGAAGAGGAAAAAAAAAAAGAAGAAAAAACAGTCTTTAATTATTAGTAAGAGGTTACTACATTTTTAATTCCCATAAAGATGCCAGCAATTATCAAAGCTGCAGCTTTGCCCCAGTTCTCAAAGTCAGGAAGAAATCTTGCCAGCTGGCCATTCTTACAGAATTAATCATATCTCTCTCACACAGATTTCATACTGACTTCCTTACATTTGCTTTAAGTCATGCAGAGCAGGTGTGTTTAGTCTCTCCATTCCCAGCATGGGCCAACAATGGAAATTACCCAACTTCATTGACAGGATGCAGCTTGTTAAATCAAATCTCTTAAGACTAACAAATCACCATGAAGAACACGCTTCTACAAAGTTTGCAACAAAAAATGGTGCAGTAAGTTCACAGAAAAACTTTTCTTCTACAACCTGCAGCAGATTTTCTTTTAAGAAGTGCAATCACAGCACACATATATGAATAATAAACATGTGAAGACACCCAAAAGTCTTTATTTTTAATGAAGGGCTAGAAAGGAAAATCCATTGTACTGAACTACTAGAAAGGAAAAACATCAATAGACAATTTTTATTTTGAAATGGCTGAATGATAAAGAGCAAGAAGAAAAATGTAAACCCTCTTTTCTTTATCATCTCTCATGCATTAGAGGAATTCTGTAATACTCACATTTTGGGAGAGGGACACACATGCAGAGGTCTGCAGTTAGGCATAAAGTTTGATAAAAGTATTTTTGGGCAGTAAATTCCTGGCACAAAATTCCTGCAAACTACTCATACACACGAAGTGTAGTCTGTGTGATCAGCAAAAAGCAGAAGCGCTACAGATGGGGTTGATCACACACAAAAGTCATTCCAAGCAGAGAGTAAACAGGCGAACACAAAAGCATCCAAATTGTTCTAAGAGGGCAGATATACTTCCTGAAACCAGACATTGAGCTTAGCAGCAAAACAAGTAAGAAAAAAAACCAAAAACCAAACTCCACAAACCCAAAAAAACCCACCAACACCAAAAAATCCAAACCACAACAGTTAAATTGTTCATATGCTTGGGATTTTGATAATCATTCTGGCACAGCATTCAGCTTGCTGCTCTTTCTTGGCATGAGCCACAGCTGTGTAAGCTGAAGTGTTCTCTGAAGGGGCCATTTCTCACAATGTGATGATGAATGCACCAAATCCTTTACTCAGCAGCCACGGCTGCTGCTGCAGCTTTGACAAGCAATGTGTAAAAAGATGTCTGTGTCACACCACATAAAGCAATAGGCCTTTATTTCATACAGAATTTTACAGTCTGCAGCAATGCTACACTTCAGGCAGATGACTCTGTATTCTGCAGCCTCATAGGAGCTCTTTCCATTCAGAGATTAGTGGAAGTTCCCAATAGAAAACATGAAATTACTTTGGTCTTTGAGTTATAGTTGGGAGTAAGAAAGTAATAAACCCCATATATTTTACATTTTTAAAGAATCATGGGATAGATTCCTGTCTTATATAAATATTTACATTTATAAATAATCTCCAGCTTTACTATTTAATCCCTTACAACAACAGAAGAAAAATTACATGACTGCTTTTTTTCTTTTCTGCAGACAAAAAATTTTCATGAACAACATCCATCCAAAATTAAAACTCGGTTATTACTCGTAAGTTCTGGAGGTTCTTTACTCTTAAGAAACAAAGCAGAAAAACCAAAGGAAGTGTTCTTACCTCCTCTGTGCACATCAGGGGGAATTGCAGGTGCCATCATGTTGGTATCCATGGGCTGGGAGGTATCGTGTGTCATCGGATCTTCCGGAGGCAGGTAAGTGGGCGGGGGAGTATCAGCTAAATATAGAAAAGGCACAGATACACGAGTCCTTTCCTCTCCTTAAAGCACATCTACACATCCACATAAACAGTTTGAGCCTGGAAATGCTTCCAGCCTGACTCAGCTATAAACTTCCACCCACCAGAAATCTGAAAAAGCAATCATGGACCTCGAATAGGGAAAGCAAAGAATTACTGTGCATATTAAGCACAACTGCAATAAAAACAAGTCACATCACCCCCACATAAAGCCACAAAAGAAAGCTCAGCTGTGTTTCCAACCCACAGTTCTGCAGGCTGAAGGTGCCATACAAACATCAGGGCACAAAGATGTCTCAGGGCCCAGCCAGCAGTAGATACTGAATATGTCAAAAGTGAACAGAAGCTGGAGCAGCAAACTTTCAGTTTCAGCTTTTCTGTTTCCAACACAATTCTACCAGCAAATCATTTGAACATCCCAGCTATATCCAGGGCCTTATCATTGGCAGTGCAAATACTAGCTCTGTTTCCCTAGACTGGGAACAGTAGGAAGTGTTCAGGAACCCAAATTCTACAGAAGTGGCCTTGTGGGTCTGGAATTTCTCTGTCAGTGTCTCTGTCCTGTCCCATTCAGGGCTGCACCACCAGCACAGGAGCCCGTGCAGAATGACCACACTCATTAACATACGGCTTTCAGCCCTGTTTGAAGTGTCCCAGCTAGCACTGCCCTTCAGATGCCTATTCCTCTCCTGGGAAAGCTTGCCAAAAGATTTCTTAGAAGCTGCAGGAGTTGCCAATGTCACCATTTCCCAATACACCAGAGGACACTCTCCTCCAGATCAATTGCACAGAGGTACATCCAAGAATGAGACACCCTTGCCTGATCCCTGCAAGCTTTTGCTGCAAGAGCTGGGATTAGATTACCTCGGTGCTGTCTCTGCTGCTGCTCATCCCGCATTTATTTCCATTACTGAGAGCATGGATTGCAAACTACCACAGCAAATAATCACAGGGCATTCCAAAACTCTGAAAACCAAATTAGCATCAACAAAAGGCAGGAGAGTGCTCTGTAAGTTTGGTTTTTTTGGTGGAGTGATGGTTTTGTTTGGATTGTTTTTTAATGTACCTTTTAAGAAAACACATGTTCATGAAATTTATCAACTAACTTATTGTTTACCAGGTATTTTGTTGAGAGCTTTACATCTAACGCTGTCAGGTGCCTGGATAATTCCCTTACCAGAACACATTTCTGATGAGAAAGCAGCAGAGAAAGACAGAGAGAGCAACCTGATTGCATTAAAAGCTTAACAAAGTGCACTGGATTTTGAGTCTCATGTTTTACTAAGCCTTAAATGCTTATGTATGTGCAAACATGATGTTGGTCATGCACAAGATTCCAAGGCCATGGGCAACAAATTAACCAGTATCTAGAAAGTTTTCAAGGCTAGCTGCTTTTCTCCTTTATTTTTGTATTTTCCAGATGTCAGCCTCTTTCCCCATTAGTGCAAGATGGACAACTGTCCAGGGCTAAGCATCAAGGACATCAGTATCCTGACCTCCCCCCTAACTCAATTTCTTCACTGCAGCTGCCAACATTAAGGGCATGTGGACAGAACAGACCTTCAAAGATCAAGTGAACTTCCACAAGCCAGCATTCAGGAAGACCTTGTTAGGTCTTTATCTCTGTTGGAAGAGCCCCAACTACAGCAATCGTGTTAAAAAAAAAAAAAAAAGACAGCTGGTTTCACTGCAAATTCTCACATTTTTTAGAAAAGCCAATAGAAACTCTTTCCTTCCTTCCAGAAAATTCAGTAGTCTTCACTCATAAGAGAAAAATTTGCAACAATTAGCAAGAGAAGAAATCTATGGATATTAATTTCATGTAATAGGAAACAGATTTTCACAAAGCTGCTGCTTTGTTTACACATACCCTCCCCTCAGCCCCTGAAGGAAACAGACAAACAACATCAGTGAGCATTTGTACTGCATCCTTCTCCCAGCATTTAGATCAAGAAATTCACCACAGATTGCAGTAGTTTTATCCAGCCACATGCAAAGACCAAAAACAAGGCAGCTTCATGGAATTTTCTATGGACACCAGTCAACAAAGAAAGGCTCTTCTCTGACTGTAGGTAATAAAACAGCCTGAAGAGTTCTTTTAAGGGACTGTTTTTCAGTTGAAGTATATTGGCTACTTGGAATTACACCACTATGAGAAGAAATTGTTTATCAAGTAACGATAACGTGATCACCTTGAGAAATACCCTTTTCCTGCAGAGCTGAAGCCTTGTGCTGAACTTATGATCATAAGCAAGGATGATCTCTAGCATCACACTTCTGGTGCATTGAACATTACACTTTGTGGGCTAAACTGCTGAACTGGTCCTCAAAACATTCTGGATCCCTCCCCACACCTCACAAGAGTTCTACCGTAATGTTTTAACTGTGTTTGAAAGAGGCACAATATTAAAGCCTTCAATGTTACCAGACAAAGAGATTCTATACTCTTTATTGCCTTACATCTCTTAGCTTGCTACTGAACGTTAAGTATTCTTCTCCCTTCTCAAGGAAAGCTGACTGTACCTGGCATCTGGAAAGGACTTCCTGGGTCTGAGCTGGCTGGAGAATGTGGGTAGGTGCTACTGCTGCTTCCAGGTGAGTTTGGGTAGCTGCTGTTGGGCGAGTGGGGGAACGGGTGACTGTTGGGCTGCTGGAAGGAGTCCGGGAAAGTCGCGTTGTGCGGCATGTGGGGCTCGTTCTGTCCCAGGTTGCGGAACTGCGCCAGGAGGCTGTGCTGGGGGTTGTACTCGCTGTGCCTCGGAACCAGCACTGGAGGAAGAACTGGAAAGGGAGAAAGAGAGAAAAGCCACAGCGTTAGAGACTCGGTTCTGAAAGTGCACAGGGGAAAATCCCCCACGTTCTTCCTCCCCCCCGGCATATCCGCATCTGCCTCAAAAACAAGGCAGTCAGACCTAGGAGCACATGTCCAAGCAAGAACTCCTTCCTGACATCCGGTTACTGCACAGCTCGAACCCACAGCTCCCTGCTTTGCCAGATGGGAGCTTGTTTTCACAGAGGGCCAGTGAAGAAGAGCCAAGAACCAACCACAGCTCTGTGCTTCAGTCTTACTCGCACGAAAAGATGCTGGGAAGAGCCTGACAATGCTGACATGCAGTTCCTCCTTGTCATCCAACTAATCACCTAACCCAAACCCTTGCTAATAAGAACAGATTTTTTTTTTTTAAGACAGTACTAATAAGCCTTGAACTCAGTCTGGTCCCAACAGTTGTAATTTTATTTTTAACCTGGGCTATGTTCTTACAAGTTACTATTAAAACAGTTATTAACTCTTCAAGTCAGTTTACAAAATGTGCAATTTAAACAAAATTATGTAGTTCAAAAAAACCAACTGAGCAGCAATTGAGCTGCAACTATGTGCTACTATGGGATCAGAGAAACATCAGAAACGATGAGTCTCACCACACTTCTGAAGCCTTCTCAGCAGCAAAACAAAGGTCTCTTTCAAACTGGGAATATGAACATGATACCAGATACACTAAGATAAAAGAATCAAGTCTTTTTCTAGTTCTATCTTTGAATGCCTCACAGCAAAGTCTAAGATAACCATAGTATTAAAAGCTCTTCTTTACACAGAAATTTTTGGGTGACGGATAGAAGAGGAGAGGGAAGGTCCGGGAGAGGGAGGTCCATGCACAAAGTAGTGGAAGAGAAATAAAAAAGCAAGTCCTCTCCTTGTCTTCCCCCTTTGGAATCTCAGTTTCCCAACTCCATGTCTGATCAGGACTGGAAAAAACTCCCCCGGATAGTATGTCTTCAAGAGAGGGTGTCAAAAATCCAACAAAACACAGGAAAAATCTGCCAAGACTACTGTCCCCTCTCCTTGAGACTCCTGCTCTGGTCTCAACACCTGGGCACACAGAAAAGGGTCAGGAGGATGTGCTGTCAACAAGCCCATACAGACATAGCTGTCATTCAGATTAAGAAAGGTGTTTTGGAGACAGCTGCTTTATTAAAAGCCTGAATTACAAACTAATTGCCAAAAAAAGAAAAAACAAATCAACTCCTAAACACAACAACATTTTCTTCATATGGCAAACAGGTTCTTCCAGGACACTGGGTCATCTTTACTCTTCCAGCACTTTGCTATTACAGAAGCAGCACATGGGTATTAACTTTAGTGTCCTGGAGTCCAAGAGTACCAGGGTAACAACCTGATACATAGACCAGGTCTGAGGTCTAGGTTCATGCTTAAAAGGGATATAAATGAATGCCACACTAAAAACTCATCTCTATTCCTAAAGTTACAGACTAACTAAAAAGAAAAGGTTTCCCTTCCTCAGATTTTTTTTTGGCGTATGCCTAAGAGAGAAATTAAGTTCCCATTTTTGCCTGCTAGTGGCATTAATGCAGGAGCAGTCTGATCCCAGAAATCTTCATTGAACATACACTGAAAAAACCCCAAACCCTCATTATTGAAATTAAGGCTGCCCAAGTCAGAAGCCGGTTTTAAGCATTTAATCGGATCTCTCAGTTTCTTAGAGCAATTTCACTGTGATTCCAACAGATCTCAAATATTCAAGGCAGATGTCACTCCTAAGTAGATTTGTTTAGATGTCAAAAAACCCAATTACACTTTACAAGGCACAGATAAAGTTCCTAATTATGGTGTTTTCTGAAACAAAGCACATCCATCTGTCATTCTATGGAAGTTCTCAATTGCAAAACACCCCAGGAGAAGCTGCATCTCGTTTCTTGCTCCAGCACAACCATTCTGACATGCCACTGGGAAAGGCTGTTAACAAAAAGTTACTCAGCATTCAAGTGGACATCACAAATCCCCTCATCCTCAACACGTTGGAGCCAAGCTCTCAGAATATTAAGGTTTCTCAGAATTAAGCTTGTTCTGTTAAACCAAGCAGTCTTTTTGCAGCTAGGTCAAGTACTATTTAATTGTCATAGTCACCATTTGCTGGGCTAATAAATTACCAGTGAAAAAATTAACAATGAGATCATGTGTTAAAATGTATTTTCCCTTTCCTGTCTTTATGATTCTTCCTTACTTTTCTAAGCATTAAAAACACAGCTTTCCTATCTCTTCCCTTCCTATGGGTGAAGGTCAAACCATTAACTTTTATGGAGTTAATTTGTGCAGAAAGTACATCACCTACCTTTCCCATCCCCTACCTCACATTAAACAATGACACACATGACATCAGAGGAAGCCACATGATTTACAGCATTTTAAAATAGCAGGAGAACAGGATATTTTCTGTATGTTTTCTCTAATTAAATTAATGCAGTGCCAGATTTTCCCAAGGTATATATACATGTTTTCTCCTGTTGGGCAGAACCACTGGCAAAGTTTAGAAGGACTTGAGATAAAAACAAGTCTCCTTTTCCCAGGTGTCCTTCATGCCAACCCACGCTTTTTGTCCAACTCCGCCAACCTCAAGTGATTAAATGCCAACTTCTTCACACAAGGAAAAGGGAGAAAAAGAATACAACTGGTATTGCTACCACACAGTCTCAAAAATATCACTGCAGTATTTACTTTAAGTGCTGCCCCTAATTCACATCCTCCCTGCATACACAAAACCTTGGATGAGGAGGAAAAGCCCTGAAAGGCCACATCGGGTGGGACAGAGACTGCAGTGCTCCAATTAGTCCAACTCCAAGTCTCACACTGCCATAACCCGATCTCTCTGCAGCTCCCGGCTTTTTCGCAGGGAAGCTGCTCCTGGTAGAGCCACAGAGGAGTTAATTTGAGTGCTGCTCACTCAGGAATAAAGACATGAGCAGGGGCTGGGCCCTTTGGAGCATGGAAGGCTGCCAGGAGTTCAAACCATCAAGGGGGATGCACACCCTTCGTGCTCCCTTCGCCCCTGTGCAAGGCGCTGAGCTTCTGGTCAGCTCGCAGACCTCAGCCACATGGAATAACAAATTACTGAGGCTCAGTCCAGCAGGGGAGGAGGCTGATCACTGCTGCAGCTGCCAGCTCCAGGAAGAGGTGTAATTGAAGGGGAGAGAGCATGAGAGAGTTATTCAGTGCTAAGCCAGCACACCTGTTGCTATGAAATAATGAAGCAGTGCACATCTTTGCTGGGCAGAGCTCTGCAGGATGTGGCTCTAACCATTTGCAAACACAATTCCTCCCTTCCTCTTCAGCGGAAGGGAACACTGATATAATAAAAAATTAATTTTCTTTTTTTTTTTTTTTAATTTAACATCAGTATCATCAGCATATATTTAAAGGAAACATAATATTGAATACACTGTTGTGTTAAAAAGCTGCTGCAACAGATTTGCCAACTCAACCTCATTAAAGTTAATGGAGTAGAACCACAATTCATCCGACAGCTTGATTTCTGTAATTCTTCAAACACTGGATTAAAAGGCTTTATGTGCTATACTGTGGCTAAATTTTGCTCCCAAGTTTTTCTATCGATGTGGACCTGCAGTTAAGAGTTAGTACAGGACTACTACCAGTAATGTTACTAGTAAGGAAGAGGGGGATAAATCCCCAGGAAGCAGGCTAGGTATGTTTATGGAACTGTAGCTGAGATCCCGTGTCTGTCAAGACAGCCTGGGAATTGGGGAGCTTGTTTTTACCATGCAAACAAGACCAAGTATGCCTGCACCAAACAAGAGGAGCTGTATTAAAGAAATTAGAGCTACAGGGCAATTTAACCCACAGGGCTATTTCATCTAGGAGCCAAGAATGCCAAAAATACAGAAGATAGACCAAAGGCAACCTGGCTGTTCAGATAAATGCTCTGACTAACCACACCAAGGAAGAAATGCTTTTATGAAAATGTAATAGTGGCCTTTGAAGAAACTAAATGATCTCTACTCTTTTTATCTCCAGCATGTCACCCTGTTCTTCTTCAGAAAACTAACAGCTGTGCTATCCTAAATAAAGATCTCCTTGCTTTTCTTTTTTGTTCTATTTCACATTCCAGAGATAATGATTTTAGCAAACACAGAAAGTCTCCAATTTATGAACATAGCTTCTTTTTTTTTTAAGTTTCTCTAAGAAAAACCCCAAACTAATCCAATCCAAAGGACCTGCTGTACTTTCAAAGAAGCATATTTTCTATCCAGATGGGTTTTGATTATCTTACACAAGCCCAGATGACAGCTAGCTTCCCTCAAGGGCTCATTTTTTCCACATCCTTTGCATGTTATGTGAAAATTTGGGTAGGTATCTCTCTTTCCACGTATGGAAATTGAAAGACCATGTAATGAAATACAAGGGGCCACATGTAAGAAAGCAGACACTGATCCACTTTCCTTGCCAAAGCAGATTCTACTTATTCTGTAAAAAAATTATTCATAAGATAAATGAAAAAAGAAAAATATAAGCAATTTGTGCTGCACATTTTGCTCTTAAAAAACATGACTTGGTTGACATATGTTCTGTGAAATGGTTTGTACCACAACAGGGCCCTTGGTGCTAATGAAGACCTGACAATACTATCATTAGACAGAACACTTTAATTTCCAAGTTTTACATAGCTGCATTTTCATCTGAATTTATGCAAAGCCACATATGTTTTGCCAGAAAAACAGAACTGCAGGTTGGGAAGGAGGAAAATCCTAGAACAAAAATTCATGCTATCTGGAAATAGGAAAATCCTGCAAAGACTAAATTGTAACAAAAAGGAAGAGTTAGGAGAAGGGAAAAAAAAAATTCAAAAGACAGGAGCAGTGTTAAACTAACACATTTGAAACCTCTTGAAGACTCCCAGCTTCATTTCCTGCCTTTGAGGTCACAGCAGCTGAAGCTGTGGCATCCTGATGAGCACTCCAGTCCCACGGTG